GCAAGCCCAGCCTCGACCGGAGGGATCCTGACCCGGTCCCGGGAAGATCAACTTTCCTGGCCAGTTTTTTTTTTAAGTGAAAATTTCCTCATCAGAGCTGGGCTACGCTGTTTTTATTTCACCGTCCCCTGAGAATGTCACAACCCCGCTTTAGATACAAGTTGCCTTCTTATCCTGCTCCTTAGGATGCGCTGCGGCAGAAAAGATACACTCCTCTTGCACAGGGAGGTTCTGTTTATTCGTTTCGTTCATATCCTCGGCTCCCTCCCAAGTTTTATCCTCCTCCCTACAGCCCTGTGAGGTAGGCCAGGCTGATGGCGAGAGCACCTCGCTCAAAATCCCCCCCGGTGCATTTCAGGGGTCCATAGGGCCAATCCTGGCCCAAAGCCTGGTGGGCCTGTGTCCCCACAGCCGGTGGGCCTGTGTGCTCTAAATGCCAGGGCCGATTTTTGGTCCCAGTCCAGCCCTGGGGTGGGGGTTGGGGCGCCCGCCCCTGTGCTCATGGGTGGGCATGTCACGCTCGCAGGCGGGCGTTTCACGCTTGTCCTTCAATAGTACCCCCTCCGTTCCTTATCCCTTCACAACCGGGTATTCATACTGCCAAGTTAACACTCATTTCTTTCTTTTCTTCTCTCTTCCTGCTCTCCTTCCAACTTGCAACATAATAAAACTCTTCACGGCATGAAAGGGGGCAAATGGAGACTTCACTGCTTTCCGTCACCCTCCCTTCAGAAGCCACTGCAATAACCTGCTGGGCTTCTAACACCACCTCCTGGGCACTGGAGAAAAGAGGAGTTTAATGTGTAACGGGGGGGGGGAGAGACACCCCAGCGTCACCTCTACCACCAGGCGTAACACTTTTTTCCACCCCTCCCCACCCCTTTTACCTGCCGCAGCACCAAATGATAGAGGACCTTTTAAGCCCCCCCACTAACTAAAACCACTATTTCCCCGGCTTCCAGGGAGAGTGGCGGAGCAAAGGGCAGAACCCACCCTCTTCCCAAAAAGAGCTGTAAATACGCGTTTCAGAAAAGGAGGGAAAAAGAGGGAGGAAGGCAAGGGCAGAGAGCACTTGACAAGCAACACATCCCCAACCTACACGCTCTCCCCCATGACTTTCCACCCTCTTTCCATAGAAATACTGGACAGGAGGAGACTGTTTAAAAGCAAATCCCATTAAAAAAGGAGGGGGACAAAGGCCACAAGCCCAGCTCACCCCCTTTCCACTCTCAATCTGATTCATTCTCCTTCCCTCCTTTATTAGCATCATCTCTCCTACTACTGCCATTGCAAATAGTCCTAGAAATTCCTCAGTGTTGTGCTGTAATAGCTTTGCCCCTTCTTTCTCGCCTTTCCGCCCCCAGTGCCCTGGAAACGATTCTCCCTCAAAGCAGAGAAAGAAACGGCCACCTCAGTGCCCCATATGCGTCCTGATTCCTCTGCCCCTTCGCGCCCCTACTGCTGCCGCCGCCTTTTCGTCCAGCATTTTTACACCTAAAAAGCCAAGTGCTGGCTTAAAAACTGAAACCCCCAAGAAGACCTTCTGTTCCATCCCCAAGATTTTTTTAAAAAAGAGGTTATCGCCTGGAAAACAGCCCTCTTGCCCACTCCTCGAATCTCTCCTCTCGCTTTCTGCTTGCCTTCTCACAAATAAATAAAGAATAATAAAACTACCATCCGGGATGAAGGGGAAAACACACAGGCGCGCACACACGCACGCACGCACACACACACACACGCACACGCACACACACAAAACCGAGAGATCTTCTCTGCAGAAAAAGCAAACCTATATAGCTTCTATACATTCTGGCAACGAAAATATAAAGGAGAAAGCACATGGTATTTGGTGTCAATTTCCCTCATCAGGGAGACATTTCTCTGCAGATCGAAAGGCAGAGATGTCGGTTGAGTCCATGTAATCCTCCACATAGTTTGCTAAATGAGGCCATTAAAAACCCGATCTTTCCCCAGACAGACAGGCAGGAAGGCAAACAACAACGATCTCGCTGAGCAGAAACCGGGGCGGGAGGGGGGAGAGCATGAGCCTCGCTATTCCTTGTAGGAGAAACAGCAAAAGAGCCTTGGGGCATTTTTTAAAAATCCTAGATTTTTAAAATTGTGGCATAAACTTTGACAGACGCTGTTTATACAGTAATTATACCTTCTTCCTCTCTTCACTCCCTAAGTCCAGAAAACGAAATGAGATGTACAGTATAAGGGGGAAGAGCGCTTGTTGGCTCAATGGCTGCGAAGGTGCACGGAAGGGTTTCTCTCACTCGTGTTTGACTGTTTTTGGCTGGAGATGAAAAGCCACTCACTTACCCTTCGTCATTGTACATACAGGCAAAATAAGCACTGTTTTTTACTCAGTCTTGACATGAGAAACTGGGGTACCAAAGCCCTTTAATGGGGGACGTGCATGTATTTTAAAAGAACGGAGCAGAGGTATGGGTGAAGTTTCTGAGCGGTGTTGGCCTCGGCTGCCTCCCTGCTCGCTCAATCTTACCTGACTCTACTACTCGTGACTGGTAGCGAGAAGGGAACTGGGCTAGACACATTCTGCTGCTTTTGGACTAGTTTAGAAGGGAAAAACATGAACTTCGAAAAGTTGCTCCTTTTCCTTTCTTCTTCATCGCCTCCCACATGGCCACTCTCAGCAGTCATCCCTAATTTGTGCCACACAGGGCGAGAAGCGGAAGCTTGTGGGAAAATGCAATCTAACTTCTCATCCACCTCGCCTTGCATTGTTTACTTCCCCAGCTTGCAGGACTTTTTCGCTCTTAAAAGAGAGATGGTGTTCCTTCCTTCTTTGAAATTAACCATCCGAGCAACAGCATCAGTAAGCGTCGGGCTTGTGGGTGGGTGTGTCGCCAGGCATCTCCAGAAAGACCCTCCCGCATTAAAATGTCATCCTTCTCCTACAGATGCATGACAGTGGGAAGAACCTATTGTGCCCAGACCTCTGGCTACTTTTAGTGAAAGCAGTCTCTCGCCCTTTTCTTTCCAGCCTCCCTTCTCTGCCCATAAAAAGCCCCCTAGCCTCATCGCTCAGAAGACACGACCTCCCTTGCAAGGCAGCCCAGTCGAGCCACTCAATGAGTAGGGGAGTTCCGTCCGCCCACCCTCCGCCTCCCCCCTCAGTTGGATGGTGTCCAAGTAGCAGCAGCTCCGTGCCTCAGGTAGAGAGGGGAGGAAGCGCGAAGCTCGCAGCGGCGGGGGCTCCAGCAGGCAATATGTCTCCATGGCTTCTGACCACATCCTGATGAAAACATAGCCAGGAATATGTGTATTAATGGACCATTCTAGTTTCACAAAAAGACTTAGTCTTCCTACTGAGCAACAATATGTCAGAGGTGTGCCAGCAATTGGTTTTGTCACTTCATCCACGAATTCTAAGAGAATCTTAGAATAATAGACTATTTGTTTGAAAGGAAAGGAATATTGATTTTGCTTCTGTCTGAACCCTAAATTCAAGATAGCAACCCACTTGGGTCTGAAAACAATTTCTTTGAAAAGGCAGAGCAAAGTTAGAGAGAAATACTGGTCTCTCCCCAACTGTTGTAACTGAGAGGTTATGATTAAAGGGTGAGTCGCTGAAAGTCCCCCCCCCCCCCTCCATGCAATTGGTTCTTACTGATTGAATGCTGCTGAAAAAGCTCATAAATGCAGCTTGATAAAAGCTTCACTGAAACTTCTTGACGCTTAAATGTACCCAAAGGGTGGGAATTAAAAGCCACATCCTGATGTAAACATAGCGAGGAATATGTATTAATGGACCATTCTAGTGTCTGGCCTTTAAAAGGATGGTTTTACTGGCCACCGAACTTCTCTGGAGAGGAGTTTAGGGACAACGAAGGAGACAAGATGGCTATGATTGCTCGAAGGATTGTTTTTATCTTGTCCTTGATGAGCGAGGCTGCCTCGGTCCCTACGAAGGGGAACCTTTTGGGGGAACCAGAGGCCCCAGCTTTGAGGGAACCCCCAAATCCAGAAGATGTGGCAGACTTTGGAAGACCATGGGTGGAAGACACTCCTGGGTTGGTCAACCGTGGAGACGTCCATGGCCGTTCTCCATCATCTAAACGTTTTGGAGACAGAGAGTTGAGGTCTTTTTGGCCTCTGCCTAGTTTCTTGTCTTGGCCCCATGGGGTCCCGGATGAGCCGGTGTGTCAGGTGAAACTGGAAAGGGGAGACCTCCAGAGTCCTCATCTTCTGCAGGTGGTGGGTCTACTTAACAGCTATGACAGCAGTTTCTTGAAGGCCGTGAGCAGTTCGTCCTGGGGCCCCGAGGAACTGGAAATCTTTGGGATGTGCCCCACTGATGCTCCCTATGGCCTCCTCTCATCCCTCCAGCATGTGGGGGACTCTCTGGCCCTCCCAGAAGAGAACCACTTTCTCTTGCTCCATATGGCAGAAGGTAAGGAGGAGGGAGAGGACGCTAAAGAACGTTGGCTTCTCTTGAGTGGTAACTCTTGGGACATCCAATCCAGACTGGGTCTTCTTGGACTGGAACTTGGGTCTCTCTAAGACCGGTGGGTCCCCTTACATGGGACTACAACTCCCAGAAGCCTTCCCTGCTAGTTGGGCTGGCCAGGATTTCTGGGCTTATTAGTACCCCATGAAAACATAAATGAGAGGGCTATTTAAAGCAGTGGTTCTTAACCTTTGTTACTCAGGTGTTTTTGAATTGCAACTCCCAGAAACCCCAGTCAGCACAGCTGATGGTGAAGGCTTCTGGGAGTTACAGTCCAAAACTCCTGAGTAACCCAGTGTTAAGAACCAGCGATTTAAAGTATGAGTGCAAGAACAGAGGACATGAATCCCTTTGAAATCCCTTCTTTGCATCTAAAATAAACGGAGCAAATTTGAAAACCAGAAGGTATGCAACTTGTGAATCTTTGCTGTTGACATTTATAGGTACAATGTAAGCTTGCAAAACCAAAGGTCACGATTGTGTTCCTCCACCAGAAGGGAAGTCAGCAAACTGTGTTCTCTTAACATGTGTGATTGCAATACAGTACTTGATGTTTCCAATAATTGTGTTGTATTTAAATTGATTATTCTTTAAAAATACACACTTTCTCCATGAACAGGGAATAGGGGTAAAGCTAAACAGGAGGAACAGAGGGAAGGTGTGAGATAATCAACCCGGATGGGTTGTTTGTGACTTTCCAAGACTGGATTTGATTTTTTTTAAAGGCCCAACCCAAAATATATGAATTAATTCAATGACATTTTCCCCTAGTAAAGAAGATCTGGTGCATTTCTTTTTAAAACCTTCTCTTCTCTTGTAGTGAAATGGGAGCTGGCGGCCACAAAACTTCGCTTCGAGTTGGCGATTGGCACGGCCATGGCCAACACCTTTGGCCTATTCCACCTTGCCCTTCTCGTGTTTTACCGAGGGGAGGAGATCTCGGGGGCAGTTGGTCCGTGGCATAAGTTCCTAGTGGGTGGAGAAGGTCTCTCTCAAACGCAGGTCGGTAAGGGGTGGGGATGAGACAGCCCAGTTTTTAAAATTGTTCCAAGGACCCACATGTGTTGACAGCATTATTTCCCACTTATTACTTCTTTTGGGGGGCAGTAATCACAACAACCCTGCCAGGTAGGCCAAATCTGAAGGCTCCCTTTCCTGGATTATCCTGTGAGCAGGAGTTGGAACCCGGGGTGTGTTCATCGTATCTTCCGAATTAAAGGAAAAGGCAGAAAGTTTTTTAAATGGCCAGATGCAGCCTTCCAACTTGTGTTCCTGGACTGCAAGCCCCATTGCCCCGAGCTGCCGTTGGCAGTGGTGGATGATGGGACTTGCAGTCCACAGATATCTCAAGGAGAGGACAGAACATTTATGTATTACAAGGATCAATATGTGGCCTCGGAGGGTACGTATTTGGCCCACAAACGCATCATCCCCGGCATCTTAGAACGGCAGAGCTGGAGGGGGCCCTGTGACGATTCTTCAGCCAAACCCCTATAAAGGAGGCAGAGTGGAGCATTCGAACTCTGAACCTCTGGAGGAGCAGCCCAAGACTTCAAACCCCATGTTATTCCAGCCAGCTAACGACAGGCGAAGAGCAGTGTTAAACACTGCTCCCTTCAGCTACTCTGGGATGTGAGAGGTCTTTTTACAGTAGTTTTATAGAAGAAATTATGGGGAGGGTGGTAAATGGGGGAGGACCTCTTGAAATAGAGCGCCTTTGGTTTCAACTGTGGACAAAAGCACCTCATCTCTTGGAAACTGCGTGCTTTTGGTTTGAACATTTATGCTGGACATGGAAGGCTTTACCTGTTGAACTCTCCCCCCCCATGTCCGAGCACTGTTCAAGGCCAGTGGGAGGTGTTGAGAAGCCGGCTCTGGCCTTCTTGAAGGCATTTTTTTTGGGGGGGGTACTGTTTTATTTTACTTATATTCTCCTCTTTTTTGGGCCCAGGTGGTCTGCCTCTCCCGGCAAACGCGGTACCTTGTCCTCCAGGCTTCAGCGACATTGGGGAGCCAGACCCCCGGGCGAATCATCATGACCTTTTCTCTTGGAATTAAGCATCTCAACAGCACAGGTAGAGCTTGTCCGGGGGGTGAACTCCAAAAGGAAAGCGATTAACCCCTCTGAAAACATGATTTGTTCCTTCCCGCTGGCTGAAATGCAGGTTTTTCTATACGATTTGTTGGAGCTGTGGATCTCCCCAACAAGACACGAACATAGGAAAACAATATATTCAGTAGAAGCCCTCTTTTCAGGGCTCTGATCTTATACTTTGGCTTTCACGTAGCCCCACAACTTGGTGGTGGGGCTGTTTTACGCCTTCCCTCCAAGCTGCCCCCCCAAGAGTGAAAAAAATGCACAATTTGAAACAATAAACTGAAGGGACAGACAGGCTGTTTAGAGACCCATCTCTCTTAGGGACTAGAAACTTTGAAGACATAAGAGATTGTTGGTTTTGTTACTTCTCCCTAAAGCCACCCTTCTTCTCCTTTTCACACCTTCCCCAGGTGCCACCCTCTCCCCCCAAGAGGCTCAGGACCTCCTGTTCGGCTTTGATGCCCAGTGCTTCACCCGGAGGACTCCCGCTGTCTTCCTACTGGCCCAGCGGAAACCTGCCGGCACCGCTTTCCCACTGTCGTCTTTCTTAGCAGCCGATGGCAAAGTGGACATGATCCCGTACCTAAATGTCAGGTGAGCAGATGGGGAGCGTGAAGGTCCAGGGGGGCCACCAAACAGGGCTGCCTTTTCCCCATCTTGGCCTGGAGGTGTGGCGATGGAAGCTGGGGCTCTGTACTTGCAGGGGGGAGTGTTGCAAATCTGGGGTTGCAATGCTCCTTCTTGGGCACGGAGTGTGACATTGAGAAAGAAACAGGAGCTGATGATGGATGGATGGATGGATGGATGGATGGATGGAGCTGATGATGGATGGTTGGATGGATGGAAGGAGCTGATGATGGATGGATAGATGGATAGATGGCCAGCCAGCTGGCCTGGAGGTTAGGTGTGGCTTAATTCGCCAAGGGTCTCTTGGTTTTTCTCTCTGCAGCGATTTGTCGGAGTTCGGAGTGTCTGAAGTGCCGTCCTCTCCTGACGCTCTTGCCCCCTGGATCAACCTCTCCGCTCCCATCCCTACGAGTACCAGACAGTTCCTGGAAGTCCTCTCTCAGTTCTTCCACAAAGTCCTGAGCTCCCCCGGGGAACCCCCATTGGCTTCTCGGCCGCACCTCCAGCTGGACCTGGGCATGTTGGAGGGCCTCCCGCACATGCAGCTCAACCTGCCGGAGGCCCTGGAGCAGCTGGTGCAGGTGGAGGACCACCTGGTGGTCCTATTCCCAGAGGACCACCAGGCGTGGGTGAACCACCAGGTGGCTCAGTGGTCCCTGAGAGGGGCGTTGCTGGAGCAGCTCCTGACAAAGCTGCGCTCAGTGATCCGGGACCTGGAAGCCCTCCCATCCTTTCAAGCCAACGTGGACCTCTTCCGCGTCCTCTTGGCATTCTGCTACTACCCGCCCGGAGGGCAGGGAGACTCCTCCGTGCCCGACGCGGCTGGGGCAGAGGGATCCCGCACCGCCGGGGAGAAATTTCACAGCCTGTTTCTCCTCAAAGCCCTCCAGGCGGTGCGGGCTCGGTGGTGGGAGTCCCGCCAGGACACCCCCCGGGGACACCGCCGGGCCAGACACCATGACGACTATTGCCGGCTGCGGGAGTTCGAGATCGACCTCGTCTCCACCAGCCACATCATCCTCCCCAACTCATACAACGCTAACAACTGCGTGGGGCCCTGCCGCAGCCCGCTCTCCACCCGCATCCTGGATCATTACCCCCACACCATTTTCCTTCTGCACATGCAGGAGCAGGGCATACCGGTCACCCGGCCCCCCTGTTGCATCCCAGTGAAATATTCCCCAAAACCCGTCATCACCTTTACCAAAGACCTCAACATGGCGTTTAAAGTTTACCCCAACATGGTGGCAGAATCGTGTGGGTGTCGGTAGAAAAAGAAGTTCTGGTAACTTCATCATTGTAAGTATATCTTTCCGGGATTTTTGCTTATAGTATTTTTAATATTTTTAGACTGCGGAGAAGTATATCAGCAGATACCGATCCCGCGGATAAGGGGGTCCTAACGTATTTTATTGCATTTTGATCCGTTTTATAGTGTGTGTGTTTTTAAAAAATGTATCTCTTACTGTGTTTTAGAATTAAAACTGTGAGATGCCTCAGATCCAATTATCAGGAGAAAGGCAGCCTATAAATAAGACAAAATCAATCAATAAAAAAAATCATCTGTATACCCTGAAGCCGGCTTTATGCGTAGCCTTGACATAAAAAAATGCAGCAACATAAGTTATTTTTTTTCTGAGTCAATATAACCATGGCAGACACAACTGCAGAATTACTCCGGCCATGTATAATTTTAAGTTGCATTTCATTTTTTTAAAATGGCCCCCATTACTGCAGAGTCCATTGAGATTTTCTTTGGGTGTTCTTTAATTAGAAGTGAAAATAGATTACGGAAGGATTATATATTTGTTACAATTTTGCCCCCTCTTGTCTTGTCTGTAAAGGGAAGATTTTGTTAGATGTTAAAGTACATATATGATGCTTTAAAAATTATATCAGGGCATGGAACGAAAATAACGAGATATCACTGGGGTTTCCTCCCCTCCCCCACATTTTTATTTAATATACATGTTATGAAGACATCTAAGCCAAAGGGAAAATATAAACACCACCTGCCACACTCTGTACGAGTGGCCGTTACAAAGCTGGGCAAATATATCTTGATTAAACCCCCTCCCTGTCTTCAATCTTGATTCTAAATTCTACTCCGCCTTCCCAGAGGCATTGCACTCCATGTCCCATTGTCCTCGAACAACAGGAGTCCCGGTCAAAGCGGGCAGGCGATCCAGAAAACCTGCAAGGGACTTGTGTGGCGAGTGCGAAAGGCGGCCCAGATGGCGTTGAACTACAACCCCCCATCACCCTTGGCCCCTGGGCTACCTTGGCTGGGGATCATGGGAGTTGTAGGCCCACATATCTGGAAAGGGGCAAGTGAAGCAAAGCTGCTTCTCTCTAAATTTTTTCTATGTCAAGCATTGTCCCAAATGTATCTTTTTAAATAAGAAAAAAAATGTGTGCATTTCCTTACTCCACTGTGTTTGGATTGATAATCCAAATTACTCAACTTTCTCACCATCTCTTCAAGCCGCACAATGCGTGGGAGCCCACCAAGTTTAAGATTTTGTTTGCCACAATGCCACTGGCTCGTAAGCCTCATTATCCCCTCGTCTCCACACCTCCCAAGGAAAGAATGAGACGATCCAGTGAGAAGCAAAGCTTTTCCAGGAGGCAAAACCCAACAACAAAACCCTGTTCTGACCAAAACCCTGTTTCATGCTGCATCTGGCAAACAAGCTTTCTTTTAATTTCTTGGCTGGTTGTTGCGGAGAGAAACACGGGGCTCCTGTTGCAAATTTGCAAAGTTTTCCTTTTACAAATTTTCAAGGTTCGCTCGGGCATGGAGAGCCAAAATGAAGCATGCCTGGATGGAAAACATCAAAACAGGAAATGTGCTTTTCCTTCTACTTTTTTTTTTTGACCCGGGATGGGGGGGAAACCAATCCATTCCTCCTTTATACACACAACACATCTATTCATGTGGCAGAATTGGCCAGTGGCCACAAAGCCCAGCCCTGCTGAGCACCCACGGGGGTATCAGTATTTTCTAATTTGAGAGGCGGGTAGTGACAGGAAACCATTTTCTGACCTCTTTCTCCCCAAAATATCAATGTACAGTGATCATTTTAGGGTGAAAATTCCCGTTTAGGTCCGTGGAGATCTCCACGCTTTTTTCCTGGCAGAGGAGAAGGGGGAAGAGGAGGGCGGCTGCCCCAGGGGGTGATGGACTACAAGAGAAGTATGTGCTTTTTTTCCCTTCTCAAAGTGAACCATGGATGAGAGCTTCAGAGAGCCTGTGGGTGGAGAGATAGTGTCGACTCATGGCCAAATACTCATTTTTTTGTGGGTATTTTTCCAAGTAGGATCCAGTCCAAGATGGGAAAAGCTGTTCCAGGTTGTGCATTGTGGGTTTTGTAGTTCAAAGGACCTCCACAGCACTTCCCATCTCCGGATTCAGAGAGCCATTATAGAGAAGCAGATAAAACCCTCTTCTGGTTTTACTGCTATTATTTCACAAATTCACTCCACCTGAAATCCATTCAGCCCTCTTGAATTCTAGCTTGTAGGAATGAATGTCTCAGATTTATTCCATATTTATAATATTGAAGCTCTTTACATTTTTGGGCTGGTTTTTTTTCTTCTGGTTCCTCCCGAGTAAGATTTTGGGGAGACTGCAGGAACTTCAGGTGGTAGAAACCACCATAATCCAGGTGTTGTCCAGTCACTGAGAAAAATAAGAGATTGTTGAACAAGAGCAAGAAAGACCACGTGAGAGAAAGAAGGTCTGACGTTCAGATTAGGAACCCAGAGGTCAAGGTTCATCTCCTCCAAGCAGGAACTATCCACTTCCTCACCAAGGTAGTTGAAAGGAAGGTTGACTTCCCGGATATCAATGTGTACCGATTCTTTGGGTATCCAAATCACCTCCTTGTAACCTGTGAGGCAAATGAAGGAACTGGTAAGTGTGGGAATATGTTTGCTATACTTGCTGCTAAACTTTGCATTTGTAAAACTGTGTATCAGTTATGTAGCACACACACACACATGCTTGCTTTTTGCTTCCTTATCTGTAAAGGTATATCACGCATGCGCCTCACAGATGGTATGTTAACGAGCATAGTTAATTGCTTGAGAA